GGATGGCACCGTGGGTACGTTCAGAGGAACTGGAACTTCATACCGATTGTTGTTGGGATCATAAATCTAGGCCAGAGGAAATCGATTTTAGGCAAGAATAGTATTCTTGAAACCTATACCCTTAGCAGAACCTTTTTTATTTTTGGACAAAAAGTGCAGATGCTATGTTTCTGTCTTCTTTAAGTTGATGATATCTGAGATTTAATTAATATATCAAATAACAACATAGGATTTAACATTTTTTCTGTCATTTCTCATTATTCAGGCCTCTGTTACATTAATATATTCAATGGGACATTGGTGCTGACTTGGAAAGTCATTCTGGAATCAGTGTAGGAGTTATGAATATGTTACTTGTTATTTTATGTGGGTATATGAGTATATATAAATACTTTAAAACCATTATGACTTGAAAAACAAACCTGTCTCCCCAAAATGAAATGAATTTAATTAAAATAATCTGAATGTCCTTGCTGAAGGTGGTATCTAAACTAATTCATGAGTACCTACTACATCCCTGTCTGACACAGCACAAGACACTAGGGATATGGCTGTGTAAGGCAGTGTTATGATTTTACAAAATTCACATGCTAATGATTAGTGAAAGACAGCAACTCACAACACCTGGGTGATGTGTGCTAAGGGAGAGCTATGTAGACGTGCTGTGAGATTCTAGGGAAGGAAATGCCTAACATTGTTTCCGGGAGACTGAGATGGTGTCATGGGAGAAACACATGATGACTCTTAAAAGCTTGGTAGTTATTAACCAAACAAACAAGGGAGATCAAGTTATTCTGCTGAAGAATAACAACCGCACAGGCAGAGTACTAAAGTGGGCCGTAAAGAGGCAAATATTTTGGAAAGAGCTACTCTATGGTCAAGAGGTAGACTAGGCAACGGTTGAGGCTAGAACTCCAAGGAAGTTCATTCACTTCAAACTCATTGGGTGCCTACAACATGCTAGTACTATGATATACAAACATACATCAGCATCATCCCTGCATTACAGGACGTACAAAAACTCAGAATTCGGGTTGATGTCAGATTATAAACAACCTTTCAGGCAATGCGACAACAACCTCATCACTTTCACTTACTGTGTCAATAACATTACAGCGCTAACCATGTGCCAGGCTCTGTATTAGACTTCAGAAGCACAAAGACGAAAGGGCACATTCCTGCCCTTGAGAAGCTTAGTTTAATAGAGAACTAGACATAACAGCGAGTCCATCCCTAGCCCTTAAATGCAATTAAATCTTCGAAAGGAATGAAATTACTGCATCTTGATGCCTATTTTACAGAAATCTCAAATTCGGTATCCCAAAATGAACATATCATCTGATATTTATCAAGCACATTTTCATTATTCCTATTCCAGTTAATGTCAGCACCATCCATATTAAGACGCAAGATAGAAACACGGTCTTCATTCTTGATTTTCCCTCTTCATTGTCACCTGCTTGCAATTGAGCACTATATCCTGTCACCCAACTTTCTCAACCTCAGACAGGTCCACTCTTCTCCACCTGCATTCCAGTGTCTAGTCCAAATCTAATCCCTCAACTGACCTGCCTAACTGGTAGCCTCCCAACTTGTCTCTCCGTACCCGCTCTTTCTCTCCCAACCATTTTCCTAACAGCAGTCACAGTAATCTTTTCCAAATGAAAATCAGGGCAGGTCTCATTGTTCCCTCAATGATTTCTCAATGCTCTCTGGATAATGATCTAGTCTATGGTAGCATGATTAACTTATTTTAGGGTTCTGTGACTTGGACCAATAAAAGGTAATGGAACTGAAAAGGGTCTAATCACTACCTGATACATGTACTGTGTTTACCTTGAACTGCAGCATTT